CAGTGAGCAGAGCTGGGACTGGAGAAGCACACAGGGCGGGCTGCAGTGGTGCACACTTTTAATCCCAGTATTCGAGAGACAGAGGCAGGAGGATCTCTGTGAGTTCAAGGCCAGACTGGTGTACAAAGCAAGTTCCAGGACAACGAGGGCTGTTACAGGGAGTAACCCAATATCACTGGACAAGGTCAAGCTGAGCTGGTCATGGAAGAATGGGTAGGACACCAGAGACTCGGCATGAGATGTGATGGGAAGGGGTGTTCTGCGGGACTTCAGGGTTAGAGGCCTGAGCTCTTGAACCGCCGTGTTCATCTTCAGTGTGGTAAGAGGATGAGTGGGATGAACTGCAGACATCCCAGTAGGACCCTGGCCCCGAGAGCACAGGTCTGCCCCCACACCCAGGGTTCTGTGACCTGCCTCCATTTCCAGATACTGGCAGCTTGCTAAATTGGACATGCCTCTTGCTGCTGACCTGGGGCTTCTGACACCAGGTTGGACCACAGAAAGGCTATTTACCCAAACCACTGGTTAAACCCGGTGATTCTATCATAAGGCCAAGGACAGTCCTCCTGCCCTAGCAGAGGAAGCTGAGGCTCAGAGAAAATAGACTCCCACCTAAGGTCACACAGCAGGCAAGAGGTAAAGTAGAGACTAGAACCAAGACTGACCCTAAAACCTGCAGCCATGAGAACAGTGCTGTCACACAGCAGAAGCCAACGCCAAATGGTCTTTTTATAACCAAGTAAAAGGCAAGAGACACGGCAAGCTGGCAGCACAGGCTGGGCTCAAACCCAGGGCTGGTGACTCCCAGCACAGTGCTCTCCTCAGGGAAGCTGGGGAGGTGGATTGAACAGGAGGTTGGGGTTCAAGGCATACAACAGAGTGGGGGCATAGATGGGACCTGCTTGGGTTCACATCCCAGCTTGGCCACTTGGTAGATATGTGGCCTTGGGCAAGCCACTGTGTCTGTCAGTGCCTCGGTTGGAGAAGTGACCGCAGCACCTGCTGCTGTGAGGAGGAGAGGCGGTAACACTTGTTCAGGTCTCTGTGCCTTTCAAGTCCCAGATACACTCCTCACACAGTCCCGGCAGGAAGCCTGTCTATCATGACACGCACACTCTCCCGGGCACTAGCAACCTCCCGGGGCGGGGGCGGGGCATTGCAAGGGTCCTGACTCATGCCGCCTCCAGGGAGTCTTCCCTGAAGGAGTAACTTGGACCTGGAAGAACCAATCCCAAGAGCCAGTGACATCAACTAATACACATTCCATGAAATGTGTGCTGAACACCTACTGTGTGCTGCCATCCCAAGCATCGTGAAAGGTGGCAGAAAACACAGATAAGAACCAATTCCAAGGGCTGAGAGGTGACTCAGTGGTCCAGAGCACCGGCTGCTCTTCCAAGGACATGGGTTCAATTCTCAGCACTCACAACCATCTATAACTCCAGTTCCAGGGGATCTGACACCCTCTTCTGGCATCAATAGGTTCCAGGCACTCCTTTTGTGCAGAGACATATGCAGGCAAAACACTCACATGCATAAAATAAAAATACATTTTAAAAACTTCTAAGCTTCAAAGCCCCTGAGTTACAAGGCACAGAATGAACAAGAGCTGTTGACTAAGGACATAAAGCCGATCGATGGTCAGAACTAGGGGAAAAAGTATTCAGGAAACATAAGGCAGGGTCTGTTTTCATCAGGTGGTCAGGATTGCCTTAGCAGACTGAAACTTTGGGGAACAGTTTGGGATGGATGTGGGAGAAAAAGTCCTCCTGTGCAAAGGCTGTAGAGCCAGAGGGAGCCCGCTGTAGTAAAAGTCAGTGTGGCTGGAGCGTAGAACCAGGGACTGTAAGAGAGACATTCCAAGATGCAGTGTAATAGTTCAGGACCTTGGTGACTCTGGGTGTCGGTGCCCGTGGGAAGGATCTGAGGGATGGGCGATGTCCATGAGTTTAGACACAGAGGCTCAGGCCAGAGAAGCAGAAGCAAGGCTGGTGCAAGAGCTGCTCTGTCTCCATGCTGTCACTGAACCCCAGTACCTGGGGTGGGGTGGGCTGCTCCCCTCCTCATCTGCAGGGCAGCAATCGGAGGCTCTGGCCAAAGTCACATGGTAGCAAGAGGAAGACCCATCCATCCACCATCCCACACAGGGCAGAGTGAGTCTAGAGTCAGATATAAACAAACAGGTCCAGGGTCTCTGCTTCTGCTCTGGGGCTACCTGCAAGTTCATCTGTCATTCTCAAACCACACCTCCTACCCACCCAGGGCCTACTCCGTTTTCTGTCTCCAGTGCCACTCAGCCAGCCTTGCAGGTCCCTAGTGCCATGACCTTGAGTTTCCTGAGATACTCCCAACCTTAGATCTCACACACACACACAGGGCAGAGGCCCACACATCACATGAGCAACAGTCAGCATAAGCTCCAAGCCTAGACCTTGCCCCACCCCCACGGTCCTCCCAACTCTTCTAAATATCAAATCCAGTAAGAAATCTAATTTGCAGCAAGGGACTGGAGATACTGTTCAGGGCTGCTCCCTTCTGCCTGTGCACAAGGACGCCCATGCCTTCTCTTGGAGGGAGGAAAAGAGGTCTCTTTGTGTGGGGATGTTGACTGTGTATCTGTGGGAAAGGGGGCCTTAGGAGATGCCCCCACACAAGTGACCGGGGTAGAGAGACAAGAGCAGCAGTACTGGGGAGCAAGAAGGGCCTGCTAAGCATCCAGTGAGCCAGTGTGGAACCCAAGCTGGAGCCCCACTAGAGGGCACCCAGCTGCATGGATGGGGTGCAAGACCTTCCCTGGCTGCAGCAGCAGCAGCAGCAGCGAGGGAAAGTAGCAGAATTGGCTCGGGCCTTGTTGGGATGTTTTTCCCTCTTGGAGGAAAAGAAAAATAAAATCGTCACAGAACCCAGAAGACAGGTTGTCATGGCAACAAAACTTTGAGGCCAGGTACTTCCTGACACCCTTTGGAGCTCAGTGATGAAGGGGAGATCCGGGGTCTCTGTGCAGCAGTGTGGGTAAACCCATCTGAATGGCCTTCGACCTCCCAAATTTCTCACCAGCAGCTATTTGCCAAGCTCAAGGGAAGAAAATTGTGATTTTCTGGGTGGAGCAAGCTGTAGCCAACAGGAAAAGAGGTGGTTGGTTTTTATCCACCAAGTACATCATCCAGGGGCATTCTGACTAATGGAGGTTGGGGTGAAGGTCTCATGCTGGCACCAAGTGCCCCTGTCTCAGGTCCCCCTTCCCCATCACTTCTCTTGTTAGTCTCTAGCCACCAAGAAGACATTTCAAGCTCCCCCATCGACCACCCCCTCCCCGGCCTCAAGTTCCTCATCTGAAAATGGGTCTTCCACAAGTGACTGCCTGGCCCAGAACCTAGGACGTAACAAGATTCCACAGGTGACAACTCTAGTAGGGCCTGGTGCTTAAAATGCAGAGGGGCTAACATTGCTTTAAATGTGCTTCTGTTAACAATTTTTAAAACACAGCAGTCAGGCTTGGACATCAAGCATGGAGCAAGGAATGAACTACAGAGCTTTGGGCCACAGCCTTCAGGGGAGCCATCAGACCATCCACCGAGAGCCCAGACACACCACAGAGGCAGGGACAGGGTGGGTCAGGCTGCCAGGGACAAGGACCGCCCAGGCATTGCAAGGTGACCTGTCCCTAGGGCAGGGCCTCCCGGATCTCAGGAGTTGGAGAGGGTCCACGGCCATTCCCTTCTCATTCTTTGGGCTGTCACGTGTGACGTCTATGGAGAACCGAGCCTTGAAGGGTGCAGACGGCCGTGGTGCTCCATGGTTGCTGTGTGGGAGGACTGGGCTTGTGGAAGCAAGAAGTTTTAACTAAGAGGCTTTCGGGTTAATTTTTGGTTTTCTCTTTCTTAAAACAAACAAACACAGACAAAACAAAAAACAAAAAACCCCACACCAAATTGAAACCTCAAGTCCTGTTCAAAAATCTCGTGGCTTTGGCAAATAGGCAGCAAGCTCGAAGTCATCGTAAAGTTCAGGTGCCCATCCCACCTCCCCCAAGCCAGACGGGATACCTCTAGGCCCTTCAACCTGAGGTCCCATCCAACACTGCTATTTTGCATATCACACTGCAAATATTTATTGGCAATACTCAGAAGTGGGGGGGGGGTGCACAGCAAAGTCCTAACAAGAGTGATATCTTAAGGGGAAAGGGGACAATATGCTAGTAACGAAAGACAGGTCCGGGGAATGTCAAATGTGATGAAGAAAAGGCTACGTAAAAGGGGAGACAGTGCTTCCAAGGGGTCCTGCCAGAGCAGTAGCTTACTGCAGACAAGCTGAGGGTTGAGTGAACAGCCAGTACCACCCACCATATGACACAGTCCCCTGTCAGGCAGATGTCCTCTGAGCACTCCAGCCTTGCTGCCCGCCTTGGGGCATTCACTTCAGTCCTGGCCGCCTGGGTGTGGGTAACAAAGGGGTTTGAGATACTTTCTGAATAGCCAGCCCCCCTCCCCAGTTCTGAAGCAGCCTTGTATTGAACTAAGACTTCCTGGATTCCCAAGCCCCAGTGCCCAGAGCTGTCCCTGTTTTCCCACCTGCCTTCCTTCCCTGCCGCGGCATCCACTCCCAGGAGAGCTCCGGGATACTGAAGACTCCCTGGCTTGAGGCAAGAGGGGTGCCCATCAGGCTCCACCTACTCCCTGTTTTCCCCAGCCCTGTCCTGGAGGTTCAGCGCGGCGGCTTGGAGATAGAAGTAGCAGAACCCTTGTGTTCCTGGCTCCGGGGATCTACAGTGGGAGGGGTCGCTCACAGCATAAGTCCCGGCCCCTACTGTCACCTCCAGGGCTGCGACGGGGCGGATGGAAGCGAGGAGGAGGGGCGCGCGGGGAAATTACTTCAGGCCTCGGAGGGACCGCGTGCCCTGGGACCCGCAGCCAGGGTGTGCGCGGAGGACCGGGAAGCACCACCTCCCGGCCCGGGACCTGGGGGTACGCGTCCCGGGGGAGCCCGGTGCCAGTACTCACCCGGACCACCGAGCTGCTCCTCACAGGAGTACCAGATGCCAGTGTGGAAGCGGCGCAGCTGGAAGCGCTCGTCGCCCGCCTCCCAGCTGTAGGGCGCGCCGGTCGGGCTCGAGGCGGCGGCGGCGGGGGCGGCTGTGCTGTTGGCCGTGGCGTTGGCGCCCGAGTTGGGGCAGTTGGCGCCGCCGCCCTGGCCGCAGCCCGGCTTGGGCACCCGCTGCGTGCCCTGGCACCAGTGCGTGGTGAGGAAGGCGGTAGTGGCGAAGAGCAGCGCCAGCAGGTTCAAGGCCACGGCCAGGAGCGCTCGGCCGCGGCGGCTCGTCTTCATGCCTCCCGCGCCGCCCGCAGCTCCGTGCGAAGTTGGCAGCGGCGCCCGCGTCAGCGCCCGCCCCGGGGCTCGGGTGCCTGCGGTCGGCGATGGCGCTCGCAGCGCGGGCCCATGGCCCCTGACGGAGACGCGGGACGACCGGGACGCAGGGCGGTCGAGGCTGCAGAGTGGAGCGACCAGCGTGCCGGGAGCCCGGAGCGCGAGTGCGCCTCGGCGAGCAGCCGCTGGCGCTTGGCAGCGGCCACGGCGCAGGGACGCGCGCCCCTCCGTGGGGAGACACCTGCAGGCGGTCGGCGACACTGTTCAGCGCCCGCCCGCGCTTGGAGAGGGGGCGCACCACGCTGGGCGCGGGCGGGGGACAGAACCGTGCAGGAGTGGAGAGGGACAAGTGAGAGATCCCAGGCTAAGGCGCTCCCAGAGGAGCCCACGGGAATGTGGTGTAAACACTCAAGGGCGGGAGAAGACCTCTCACCCCAGACCCGTAGCCCCACCAGTTGAGCGACACGAAGGGCAGACTATTCAGGTTGTAAGGAACCTCTGTAAAGGGTAGAAGACCCGGAGTTTAGGAGGGGCTGGGGTTGCAGGGCCACAGCGTTTGAAAGGCTCGTCCCTGGTCACCTTTGATGTCTGAGACCAATCCCCATCCACAGGCTCCCTGTTACCACCCAGGAGGGCAGAAAGCTTGCAAAGCTGCAACCTGCTGAAGGAGTCCAGTGTAGACAGGATGTGAGAAACAGGCCTTCCCCATCCAGGCTGTCCACACCAGAGATCCAGAACAAACAGCATGGCCCAAGAGGCCACAGAAAGGACGACAAGTTGCGGTCAGCAGGATGGGGTGCCCTAAACGTCCTGTGACTGCTCACTGCTTAAAGATGACTGGACAGGGTTGGTCAAGCATCCTGATTTTGAAGTCAGGGAAATCTAGGACTTGACCAGCTGTGTTACTTTGAACAAGACACTTGCTCTCTCTGACTCTCAATGTCTGGTATCTATAAAAAGGGAAGAATGTTCCCCAGAGCCAGGGTAGGAAGGGCATCTGACACACAGTAGGTACTCAGTAAATGCTAACATGGTTAGCAATATCTGGGCCAAGTAGTTGACGAAACTCAGACCTTTTTAGCATCTCTTTCGCAAACTAGGATTGCTCATCTCTGAGCACCCCCATCTCCACCTCTGCTCCAAGATGATAAGCTACAGCCTTCACTCTTCCCACTGCATGGGGCACAGTGCCTAGATGCCCAGGGTGTGCAACCATTAATTGCACATTGATTGCAGGAGCTAATTTGAATTCTGCCCAAGCCGAGAATTACTCCAGCCACCCCCAGCTTGCCGCATGGCAGGCTTTGCAGAATTCAAGGTTAACGGATTACGAATTGCCTTACTCCTGTGGGTGAACCCCACTCACTGCCAGCTGCTGCCACTCTGCCTAGGGGCAGGAGACACTAAAGCACTGTGGGCAATATCTCTGATAGGGACTGGTGTGAGGATGGCCAAGGGAGCCCTGCACTTGCTTCTCAGAGCCTCTTCCTAGCCCCAAGCAAGGAGTTTCCACCTATTTTGAGAGGGAGAACTTCTGGGTTGCAATGGTGCCTTCCAGTATTGACTAATGTGGGCAAATGGCCACCAGGAATCCGCTGCCCTCAACAGGCATGCAGTATGTGACATCTGAGCCTGTCCACACTTAAATCCTGTCCTGGCATAACACTTCTTTGGCCTTAAGACTCAGTGTTCCTATGGCAGGATATGTTCCTTTCAAACTGGGAACCCTGCCCTGGGGGACTCAAAGCCAAGGGGAGCCCAGAGAGAAAAGTATCAGGGACTACTCTCTTAAGTGGCACCTAGAGGAAGCACAAACAGCTGTGACATCCTGTCTAAGGCACCCAACTTCTTGCTCACTGAGCAGCCATGGTATGCTCAGCTCAGGGAAGAAGAGAGAACATGAGTGACATTAATAAGACCAGAGCAGACTGCATAGGGGTGAAGGGGGGTGGGTGTGGGTGGAGCTTGGAGAAAGGTCTCATAGGAAGGTGGCATTGGAGCAAAGCCTGGAAGGAGGTGAAGGAGGCACCAGGAGGCTCTCCGCCAGGAAAAGCAAGTTCCTAGCAAGGGAATGAATGACCGGTGCAGAAACCTGTGGCAGGAGTCTGCATGGCCCTGGGGTTGGGGGGGGGGGGTATAGCCTGAACAAAGGTCAGAAAGGGAACAGGAGAGGAGGACAGATCACAGGGTCTGTGTGGTCATTCAGAGTCACGTGGAATCCTGCAGAAGGTCTGCCCCGAATGACCAGCAGAAGATCACTCTAGCTGCAAAGTGAACAGAGGTGGGGCAGGGGATCAGCTGGGAGTGAGAAAGTGATACCAGGGGCTCAGACAGGATGGGGCAAAGGCCAAGGAAGCTCTGAGCTTCTTTCTGTTTGCTTGCTTTCAGCAATGCCTGGGGAGGAACCCAGAGTCATGTCTGCTAGGCAACTGCTGTACCACTAAGTTGCAACCGGTTCCTTCTGGGATGGTTTGACAAGTAGACCTAGCATGGCTTGTTCAATCCCAGCAGGATGGAGCACCGGATATAAGGACGTTTAACAGGGACGTCTGCAAGGTGAGGGGCTTGTGGGGGAACTTCAAGTTAAAACTGATTTGTGCTTGGCGGGTCTCCACCAGAGGGAGGGTAGAGACCAGTAGGAGGAGCTCTCTCTCCCGTCTGGTCTGCCTTACTGAAATGCCTCCTAATGTGTAAGCAAGCCCCTTGCACACAATCGATATTTTCATACAACGTAATGGCAGAGTTGCAGCCAGGCAAGGAGGCTGAGGCAGGAGGATTATGAATTCCATGGCAGCCTGGGCTACATAGTGAAACTCTGCTTCTCAAAGGTAACAATTATAGCTGCAGTGACCTTGGCCACAGACAGGAATTAGTGCAGGGTTCAGCCTCATGCCATAGCCAAGGCCTGCCAAAGGCCTCCTATCTGCAGCCTTCATCTGACTGCCCACCTCTGCACCTGCTGCTTGAGGGACTAGCCCCATCCCACCTCAGCACAGGTTCAAGCACCCCTGGCTTCCGCTCACATCTCCACTGCCATGACAACACCAAGCTCCTTTATGGCCCCTGACTGCACATTCGTCAAGCTGTTTCCACTGCCTGCAATGGCCTTGCCACTTCATCCTGTGTGTCCGTCGAGGTACTGTCACCCTCCACTCCCGCTGCCCCGACAACTGGCTGTCCTTCTCTGAGGCCCAGTGTTAGTGACTTACTCTAAATGGTGATGTTTGTCTTTAGACCTGTTTCCCCACTGGGCTGGGACCCTCCAGATCCCCCATGCTGGCAACCTGCAGCCCATATCGGGCCAGAAACATGTTTGGTTTGGCTTGGATGAAGTTGGCAGCACAGCATGCCAAAATTTCCTCATTGGCCACACTCAAGAATCTAAGATTTCTTATAAAAATACAGGTTTCGGCTTCTCTCACAAGATCAAATTACCTGCCAACACTAGGCATGCAAATGTGCCTGACAGACATTGGTGACACCCCTGCAGAAAAGCCCAGGCAACCGGGAAACCCTGTCCCCCTTCCCAGCACTCAGGGAACCTGCCAAGCTACAGGTGCCTTTGAGCTTGAGAATCCAGAACAAAGACCCAAACAATTGTCTCTTTGTGTTTGCATGTGAACATGCATGTTTTTTGGGGGGTGCACATGTGTGTATACACTTATCAAGGTCCAAAGGTCAACTTGTAGTGCCATTCCTCAGGGACTGTCCACGGTGGTTTTCAAAGCAGGCTTTCCGAGGCTTGTGAATCAGGCTAGACTGGCTGACCATCCATTCCCAGGGATCTGCCTGTCTGCCTCATGAGCCCTGGGATTATAAGTATGTACCACCACACCCAGGTTTTTTAACCGGTGCGGGGGATTGCTTAGTCCTCATGCTCATGTGGCAAACCCTTTACCATCTGAGCTATCTTGCCAACCCCATCTACCATGTTCAATGTCAGGACAATGTTTACCCTTGGAAAAGGAACAGTGGCTGGGAGAGGCTGCTTGGGAACTTCTGGGACTGGAGACCAGGTGTGTTCAGCTCTTGAAAATTCACTGGTTGTATATTAGGAGTTTTACATTTGTTTTACATAAAACAAGATTTACCAGAGAAAAAACAGTTGCTGTTAATAATGAAAGTGGTACTTTTCAGGAACTAGGAACACGCTTTGAAGGGACATGTTCCCAGGGGACTTGGATTCTCATCCTTCCTTGGAGTTAGCTGCCTTCTAAGCTTCCTGAGTCCTAAACCTTGGGAACAGAGCCTCTGAGCCTCCAGGCTCTCCTAATTATAGTGAGTGATTAGGCAGTTGCCAATTACTGGGGAGGTTTGTAGACAATCTCACAGGGTCGAAGCCCACCCCATTCCCCTGCTCATGATTCAAGGCTGGCCATGCTTCTTGGGCAGGGTTTCTAGAGGAGGGAGGGGCCTGGAGCTCTGTGTAATTAAAGCCTTCCCTCCCAGAGAGTAGAGTCTCCATGGAGAAAGGAACTGGCCTCATTAGTGATGGGCGGGAACTACTTCGTTGTGGTGGTGTTTGTGGTGGCCAGTATAAAACTCAGGCCCGTATACTCTAGGAAAGTGCCCTACCAGCAGCCCCACAAGCAGCCCTCAGCTTGTTCTTTGATACTGTCACAGAGAGCCCTTCTGGCTCTTCTGGAAGTTTCTCTCAGTCCTTGCACTATACTAGGGAATCCATGAACAAGACAGGATAGACTCTAGGCCTAGTGGCACATGCCTGGCATCCTGGTACTTAGGGGCTGAGCAGGTTGGCCATTAGTTCAAGATCACCCTGGGCTACATAGTGAGATGATGTCTCAAAATACAAAACACAGTAAAAAGACATCTCGGGGGGGGGGGGGGGGGTTCAGTTCCAGGGGGGAGACAGCAATAAACGAGGTGATGGCCAAGAATCCCATAGTTTCAGATGTGACAGGGGTAGGGCAGAAGAGAGGAGGGAGAAGAGGGACTGTGGGGTCTTGCTGAGGCGGGGCCACTGCAGGCTAACAACTCTGGATGGCAATCCTGCCTCCATCACATCTGGGCTGTACCTCTGGACCACTTCCTAACCCTCTCCCTCCCTGCCTGCCTCAGTTTCCCATCTGTAGTAGTGAGTGCTATTTTTTCACTGCCTACTTAACCCATCAGTCCAACTCTCAAGGGGTTCATGCTGCCCGCCTAACGAACGAGGAAACCGAGGCTGTTCTGTGGTTCCACCCACCGTCTGCACAAAGTCTTTGGCAGAAGGAGGCATGATGCACATTCGAGGACATGGCCGGGGTTGGGAGAGCTACTATCTCAGGGCGTGGACCGGGCGGAGGCTTTGATCCAGCGATGTCTCTGGAGCAGAAGCAGGACACGCCTGTGGCTGTTTCCTGCTCTGAGAGCAGGCAGGCTGAGTGGATACAGGTGGCACATCTGGAAATGTGACAGGAGGCTCACATCCTGGTTCGTGCCAAGTACTGAAGCCAGCTCTGTGTGATGGAGGAAACCTTGAACTCAGAACTCAAGCACAGTTGAGAAGAGTCTGGACCCCAGGATGTATACACTCGGAACAGCAGCAGCAACTCGGAACCCAGCAGACTGACCTTGACTCGGACCTCAGGATCCAGTCTGTGACAAACTGATTCAGTACCAACTATGTGTCAGGCACATCAGCCGAAAGACTATACTTAAAGCTTTATGGGACCATCCTCAAGTCCCAAGCACACTCAGATTTCAACTGGGGAGACTGAGGCTCAAGAAGGAGCAGAGCAAGGGTCCTTCTGCCTTTCCATAGCCGACTTCTATGTCTTCAGATGAGATCAATATTCAGCTTAAAAGCATCACCTCTTAAAATGAGGCTCAGGGTGGCTGGTTCGGCTCCCCAGTTTTTCAGTCTTTCTAGATGGTTTGTTTTATCCTAGTCATTAGGAGCGACATTCAGGACTACTAGCAAGAACGATAGTTTGCAGTGCCTCTAGTCTACAGTCCTTTCTTTCTGGGGTGGTTTCCAGTCATTTCTCCCCAAGGCTCTTGTTTGCTTCCCTCTGCTGCCCCCTTGGGGGTCAAAAGCAGAATTGCTAGTCTTGCTGACTCAAATAAAGTCCCCTCAGCACCCATCCACTTCCAAATAACTAAAAACTGCCAGGGATTGGGACCTAGAGTTGATCAAGCATGGAAGATGAAAGGCCTCCAACATGGTAACAGCATCTACATGTTACATGCCGTGAACACTATGGAAAACATATTCAAAAGCAAAAAAGGAGAGACTATGCAACAACAGATTTTAAATGTTCATTTCCTCCTATTGACCTTTTGGTTTTCAAGAAGTCATTTTGAACTTTGTGCTAACATCACCTCATTATAATTACATTTATTTGTCATGCGCGTGCGTGCGTGGGGGGGCATTGCCACAGTGTGCCTGTGGAGTTCAGAGGACAACTTTTGAGCATCAGTTCTCGCCTTCAACTATGTGAGTCCCAACAACTCTGTAGGGCAGCGGCTTCTGTATTTCCATTTCATAGAGAAGATAAGAAGATGGTAAGAAGAGAATTCAAGGACAACAGCAGAACCAGGCTTCCACCCTGGGTGTGCCCCTCCCATTTCAGTAGCCTAGGAAGCCGTGATGTGGTAGCCATCTGTATTAACTGCTTTTATGGTGGTCATGCAAAAGCAACTAAAGGTTTTTACACTCATCACCGTGGTGACGTCACGGCGGCAGACGTGTGAGGCAGCTGGTCACGCTGCCTCCACAGTGGTGATGGGTGGGCGGCACAGGCAGCCTTCTCTGGTTCACACACAGCTAGACCTCTTCTTTTTATTCAGTCTTGGACCCCAGTCTGTGGGGTACTTCCTACAGCTCGGTGTAGACATCTAGATACTCTCTCTGGACATGGTCAGAGGTTTATTTCCTGGGTGATCCTAGGTCCCATCAGGTTGACAAACGGTATTAGCCACCACATATCTTTCCGGAACCTCCCCAGGAGCAGTATGAACAGCCAACCTCATTCTGTGTGTTGGGACTTTTGGACCAGAAAAGAACAGCCAACAATTTAGAAGAGACCTTCATTAAAACAAGAGAAGTCCTGAAATATGGGGATGTGTTAGGGGGTCACATCAGCTGCTCAGTGCATGACAGGAAGTCACATCAAAGAACAGGGCTAAGGCAAGGAAGTGGACTCTGCCTGAGAAGCTGGCTTGACAGAAAGATGGAGAACTCTTGCTCAAAGTTCATCTCACAGGCAAGTTGATTTAGGTGTGGCCCATCCAAGGTGAGGGTGGCCGCCTCCTGGAGGAGGGATGAAGCATCGTGGGTCCTCACTGTTAGCAAAGGGCGGCTTTTCAGTTCCGCAGATCTCCAGGAGAAACAGCCCAGATTTCCCCGCTGATCTGTTTTACACCTGCACTCAACACTGAACAGGGAACAGCTGAGAGCAGACAACTGCCCCAAGGTCCTCCTGTGACGGCAGCACCCATGGGAATAAGCAGCGGCCTTCATGCTCAACTTCAGTGGGAGGAGCAGGACACCAAGTCCAGGAAGGGACAGCTCCTCCTCCTGGGTTAAAGATACCACAAGGAAACAAGCCCGGGGCTGGGGCTGGGGCTGTGTGGAAAGCGCTTTCTTGGCATATGTGAGACACCAAGTTGGAACCCCAGAACCAAAGAATTAGTGAAGAAGAAACTCAACCTGCAGACCAGCACCCTGTAGGACAGGCCGACTCAGGTAGGGACTATGCTGGGTCTTCACGGGAGGCAGAAGGACCTGGGCTGCCAGTCAACACGGTCCTACTGAGACTGAGGATCGTTCTGGGTCTGAGTGACAGCTGGATGGTATGTCTCTATGAGGCCTTTCCTAACTACATGGCAGTGTGGCTGGGGACATAGGGACCTTGATCCTGGAGGCTTGGGAGAATCCCAGTAGCTATTTTATGGCTTTTGTGGTCTTCTTGTTTGCCTTGGCCCTGCTGCTTTCCTGGAGGGTTGGGAGGGATGATGTCAAAGGAGGCAAGGGCGGTGTCACAGTCTGTTTTCTGTTGCTGGAACAGAAAACCCAGCACTGTGTGGCTTAATCAAAAAGAGCTCTGAGGGCCCTGGAGGACTGGGTGAGGCAGCCTGTCTCAGGGTTGCTATTGCTGGGAAGAGACACCATGACCACGGCAGCTCTTACAAGGAAAACACTTAATTGAGGTGGCAGCTTACAGTTTCAGAGGTCAGTCCGTTATCATGGCCGGAGCATGGTGGCTGCAAGTGAGGTTGGCTGCGGGCAGGCGTGGTGCTGGAGAGGGTGCTGAGACTTCTTACATCTTGACTCACAGGCAACAAGACGTGGTTTGTCTCACTGGGCGTGGCTTGAGCACATATGAGACCTCAAACAAAGCCCAACTCCACAGTGACACACTTCCTCCAAAGCCGGTTCAAGCCAGCCTGGGCTGGGCTGTAGAAGAACTTGTCCAAAACAAGTGAGCAAAAGAGAGAGAAGTGGCCCAGCTAATGCATTCCCATAAGAGAAGCACCATTCTTCCATCTAAGAGCAATTTCTACCTGGTCCCATGGCCACCACACCCACAGCAGGGACCAAGTCTCAGTGTGAGCTTTATCCCCAGGGCGGATAGCATCGCTACCTCAGCTCTTAGCCAGTGTGGCCCTGCCCTCTGCCATCGAATTTTCTTTTTACATCCACTGTGAGCAGGCCCACTTCCTTGGCTGTGGGTCATGCTTGGACAGCCAGATAAGGTATAAATCCTACTTGGGGACACTAGGCTGTCTGCTAACTCTAGGAAGACCTGATTGGCTGTGAGGTCCCACCCAGGGAGTCATGGGGGACTGGCCAATAAACCCTAAGGGTTGTTAGAATAAATGATGAGTGTGGCTTCAGGGGACTGGAGGCCACTTCTCACAGAGTGTTTTGGACACAAAGGCTCATGGAGGCACCCGTATACCGGTCATGGAGGCACCTGTGTCCTGGTTATTTCCCTCAGTGTCCAGTCCTGAGGCCCCTCGCCACTACCCAGGCTTGGCATGTTCTTCCCCAGTGGCTACAGGAGGGCACGGGCTGGGAAAATGGGAAGAGATGAACAGGAGGCCTCTCCCCAGCAGAACCCAACATGTCTATATTTGCCTGTGTTCTCTTGCTATAACAAACGCCAGAGGCGGATAATTTATAAAGAGCTTTACTTTGGCCAGGAAATAGGGGTGTATGCCTTTAATCCCAGTACTCAGGAGGCAGAGGCTGGCAGATCTCTGAGTTGGAGGCCAGCCTGGTCTACAGAGAGAATTCCAGGTCAGCCAGGGCTACACAGAGAAACCCTATCTTGAAAAACAAAGGCAAACAAAAAAGTTTGTTTTGGTTCGCAGCTCTGGAGGAGTGGTATCTACTTGGCTTCTGGTGAGGGTCTTGAGAGAGTTGCTGGCTTTCCAACCACCTGCGATTTCTGCTCCACTCCCTGAGGAATTAGTCTGAAGATGGAGACACAGCTCGGTTGCTAAGAGTGTACAGCTCTTCAGAGGACCTGTGTTCTGTTTCCAGCACCCACATGAGACAACTCACAGAGCTGTCACCCTGTCATCTAAGAGCAAGCAGGGTGAGGGTCTGCCTGTACCAGCCCGAAATGTCATACACTCATTTCCAAAAGACCCCCACTCTAAAACCAGAGCCATAAAACAAGCCCAAGACTTCAAGAAACCTGGCACTCTTGGGATTCCAGAAAACAGTCCACCCCCACCACACACCCTGAAGCTGGAGGTCTGAAAACCCGGCATCTGACTTACCTCCCATCCCACAGTTTCTGTACCCGATGAAGCCAAGCTCTTCCACCTTCCTGTTCTTGACTACAAAAAACATGATTCTCAGACCCTGCCCAGTGTGTTCTCTCCTGTGCCCTGGACACAGAGTCACAGGGCCTGAGGACACAAACTCTCAGACAAATGAAAGTTTGCTCTCACTGTTCTCAGGAGAACTGAGTCCATGTTTCATCTCCTCCACTGACTTACTTCCTACAATCTATGGCAGCCCTGCACATGGGCTGGCCCTGCCCTGTGTGGGATAACAGTGTTCTGTGCTGTGACAACAGGAGGCCTCCCTGGTCAGCAGAAATAAATGACATACTCCCCCTGTCACAACTGATGGGTGGTTTCTGCTACTGGCCATATATCCCAAAATTCACGTATAAAATCTACAGCTGTTGGGTAACTAATTTACCTGGTTTTCCGCAAAAGTGAAGCTCTCATGGACTCTGTCAAAAGGTCCATCCACTAAAGCAGAAACCGAAATGCACCCCCGAGTGTAGATGTGCCCCACCTTGGGGGGAGGAGTGCCATTTAGTGCTGGCTGACGCCAGCTCAGTGGCAGCCTGGAGACACTGTTGATCTAGAAGCTCACACAAGGCTGGGTCGCTCCCCAGCTGTCTGGCTTGCTTTCTTCATTTCTATCCTTTCATCCTCTGGCTCCACGGAGAGGTCTTGGTACGAGAAGATGGCCGCCTGGATTCCTGATGTCACATTCCCCTCTCACACCTCCTCGATGGTTGGTAGGTTTCTCTCTCTCAGAAGCCCCGGCAAATGGTCCCCAAAGTCTCCCTGTGGACATGGAGAAAATGAGATACTCTGACTGCCTCTCTTAGGTTCATATAGTTGAATGTTTGGTTTACCAGTTAGTGGGCCCTTTAGGAAGGATTAGGAGGTGTGGCCTTATTGGAGTAGGTGTGGCCTCACTGAAGGTGTGTCACTGGGTGTGGGCTTGTAGTCTCACTCCCTGGCCTGCGGATCAGGATATAAGCTCCCGTCTACTGCTCCACACTTCCTTACCTGCAGCCATGCCCTTCACCATCGTCTCAGACTCACCCTCTGAAACTGTAAGCAAATCCCCATCAGATGCTTTTACAAGTTGCCTGGTCACAGCAATAGAACAGACATGAGGACATGGCTCCCGCACTGGAATCGGTTGTGCCTTAAATGTCACGGCCAAGGCTGAGGAACTATTATGAGAACTGAGTACCAAACTTCACAAAAGTTATTTCCCATGAGTCTACAGGTGGAACAGGTGGGCTGGGGCAAGTTCTTCTCTCACCTGGACTCAATCATGGGCTGCAGTCCTCTGGTGGCTTAGAGGGTCTCCAGGGCCAGTGGTTCTCAGGCAGGTATTGCTGGCAGATGCACAGGGGAGCTCTTACCTGCAGGAAGGTAGAGCCAGGGTCTGAGACGACCAAAGTCCCTGCCAATTCCCTGCAGGCCACAAGAGAAGTCATCATGCTGGAGATGACTGTCAGAGCCAGGGTGAGTTCTTGGGACTAGAGGCAATTTCTGCACCAGGACCTGGGGGGTTGAAATTCCATTCCCCCAATGCTAAATTGAGCCATGAAAGTTTTATGAAGGCAGAGTTTGTCAGCAGCAGAAAAACAAGGCAGATTCATTAAGAGCAAATCCCTCAGCATAGGGCTGGCTAAAGTGTAACAGGAGAGGCAAATGGGGTTTGCAGAGCTGTTTTGCCTGCTAAGCCCAGTCCCTCTGACAGTGTTTGTGTCAGGCATGGGGCTGTCCCATTCTCTGGTTATCAGCCAAGAAGGTCCCATCTAGTTGTATGCAGCCCCAGGAATACCTGTCCCTGTGACTTGACACCACAGTTGCTGACAGTCTGGCCAGGTCTACCACATGGCCTGGTGGGGCTGGGTCAGAGCAGCTGGGTGTGACAGCTGGTGAATGAATGCTGTGATTGGTTTTTGTCTGCACCACACCCTACTGTCTTATTCCAGATATACTCTGCTCGCTTCTATTCCTGGCCAAATCCCATGCTCCTGGAGCTTATCACTCCCCACCCCACCCCATGTAAACTCCGTCCACTGTGCTCCAGAGTCCCCTCACACCTCAGCTCCCTACCTCAGAATGCGCCCTCACTGAGACTACAATTTCAAATATCCAGTTCCCTGCAGGAAGTGGCCACTATTACCTATTGCATTAATACCTCCTCTATCGCTCCAGCACACACACTAACAAGCACTGAAGACCTGGCCCCCTGGTGACTACTCAACCCTGACCTCAGCTGGAACATCTGCCTCCCAGCGGGCTCAGCCTGCGAGTCTGTTTTAATTCTCCAGTTTGGTTTGTTAATGGCTCACTCTGGGTCTCCATGCAAGTTATACACGTGCTCTACCAACTAAGCTTCATCCCCAGCCCCGCAGGTCTCTTTGGAAGACACTTGTCATTGGAGGCAAACTGCATGATCCAGGATGACCTCATTTCCAGATTCCTTTTAAACAATAGCAAATACTGGTTCTGGGAAGGAGACCTATTTGGGGGAGGGAGCTAGCATTCAACCCTACAAGGGTTTCCTATCTAGAAGAGTTCTTTTTGGATCTCAACTGTCTTCCAAAGGCAATAAGACTTGGTCCCTAGCCTGTGGCACCAGGGAAGAGTGGTAGCTAGCAGAGGAAATAAGGCCATTAGGTGCATGTCCTGGAGGGGACATTGGGACCTCAGCCTCTGCTTGTCTATTTTGTGCTTCCCAGACAACACAAGGTAAAACAGCCACCACACACTTCTAGCACAAGAGTCTATGCTGCCACAGACCAAGGCAACAGGACCCCGTAACCAGGGTTTGGAGATTGAAACCACGAGCCAAAATGAACCTGTTCTCTTTTTCAGCCGATTGTCTCAGGTCCCACTTCAACAAAAGCCTATGAACATATTCTTCCCTGAAAATAAAAGCAGCATGCCAGAGCTGCCGGGAGCTGCCGGGAGCTGGGAAGGCAGGCAGAAAAAGATGGAGAAAGGAAGCAGCGGTTTGGGGAACAGGTGAAGCCCTGGATGAATGTGTGTAGCAACACAGGAACACAGCCATGGCAAAGACCCCGTGCCTCACACCCATGGGAAGAGGAAAGCCTTCTGATGCGAGAGCGGAATGCTGACAGTGTGTGCAAAAACCACCAGTTCTTCAGGCATTTCCCTCCTGCAGGATTCTGCAACTCAAGACTGCCCCGCTACGGAGAATCCCTACCAACATTAGCTAATCTCACTGAGTTTCCAGGCAGCCACCGGTGTGTCTCCAGCTTTCCTGTACAAGTGTCTGTCGTCTCTTCAGCCCTCATTGCCCCAGTCAGGTTAAGTCCAAAGCTGTGTAGGCTGAGGCAGAGGAGCTGTCTGCATATCCCTGAGCTGAGACCCCAAAGAAGAGGACGAGCATGGCGGTGAGGCACTGGTGGCCAGGAAAGGCCCTCCAGCAAGAAAGGGACAGTAACCGTCAAAGCCCAGGTGGAGGAGCACTGGCACGGGGGCTGCCAGGGGAGGAGAGGAACGGAGAGGCTGTATTCTAGCTCTCACTTGTCACATCTCTTCTGAGGCCTTTTTAGTGGTGGTATGTGTGGGTGTTGGTATGTGTGGGTGTTGGTATGTGTGGGTGTTGGTATGTGTGGGTGTTGGTATGTGTGGGTGTTGGTATGTGTGGGTGTTGGTATGTGTGGGTGTTGGTATGTGTGGGTGTTGGTATGTGTGGGTGTTGGTGTTGGTATGTGTGGGTGTTGGTATGTGTGGGTGTTGGTATGTGTGGGTGTGGGTGTTGGTATGTGTGGGTGTTGGTATGTGTGGGTGTTGGTGTTGGTATGTGTGGGTGTTGGTATGTGTGGGTGTTGGTGTTGGTATGTGTGGGTGTTGGTATGTGTGGGTGTTGGTATGTGTGGGTGTGGGTGTTGGTATGTGTGGGTGTTGGTATGTGTGGGTGTTTTGCCTGCATGTTTGTCTACACCACATGTGTGCCTAGTGCTTGTGGAGGTCAGAGAGGAAGTCAGATCCCATGAACTGGAGTTACAGACAGTTGGGAAGCACCATATGGGTGCTAAGAATCAAACCTGGGTCCTCTGGAAGAGCAGTGTTCTTAACTGCTGAGCCCTCTCCCAGCGCTTCCGAATGTCTATGCACAAGGGACGTATTTCGCGCCCTCCCACACGCTCATGATTTGAGTGCTTGGTCCTCACAGCACTATCACATTCCTGACAACGTGGAAGGTAGAGCAGAGTGGGAAGCAGCAAGTCACCAGGGGAGGTCTTTGGGAGTAACAGTCCCTGTCCACTTCCTCTCTTGCTTTCGGTTCATGGAGGTGGACACCACGTTCCCTTTGCCATCACATTCTCAAGTCACAACAAAGGACTGAGCCCTATGAAACAGCCTTGAGTTGTTTACATAACGTATGATGGAAAGGTAGCTGCCATGGAAGGGGAACCTAGTGTCTTGTTTGCAAGGCTGAATGACCAACCTGATGTTTCAGATTGAGATAAGCCCAGGCCATGTCCTCAGAGGCCGGTCGATGACATGCACACTGCATCTCCACTTTAAGCCCTGTCTCATAGCAAGGAGATGGTGTGTGCGTGTGTGTGTGTGTGTGTGTGTGTGTGTGTGTGTGTGTGTGTGTGCGCACGCGCGCGCGCGCATGCATCAGGCAGCTCTGGGCACCAACATGCTGCATTATCAACAGTCACAGGCTCTTGTTTGGTCTCCTGCGAAGTATGGAATGATGGAAGGATGAATGTCCTGCTGACCTCCCCAGGAGGGAACGGCGTGGCCTTAGCTGTGCATTATTTTATTGCCTCTGTCATGCTGCAGGTCAAACCCAGGGCCATGCACATGCCCAACCACTGATCTGCACCCTCAACTCCACTTCTCTGTACGTTTAGGCGAGACTGCTTCCAGTCACATCCTAGTGTGCTCAGTGTTTCTCCCTTGCTGCTCCTCCTGACCCTGGGACACTAAGGCCACCCGGATGCCACATCCATTCACCTCACAGTCATGGTGACCAGTCCCCCCTTGAAGCCTAGCCATCAGGCCTGCTGCACTAGCCCAAGCTTCTGCTTCCTCCTCTGTAAGCACTCTGCCCTGTAGGCAGGGACTTCTGGGAAGCCAGCATCTTCAAGAGGCAATCCTGGGCTGGTCTCCGGGGTAAAGGTATGGACCCTTCGGAGAATCCACAACAGAAGTCCCAGGGAGACAGATGCTGAGCATATCTTGCCTCACGAGTCGAATCACTTCTGCCCTTCAGAAGATGGAAGCAAGGTCACCATGACTCTCAGAGTCAGGAATGAATGCCATCATAGTGCACAAGGATCCAATCGGGGAGACGGTGTGGGCAAGGCAGCCTT